TTTTTTCTGTTCTTAGCCGTAATTTGGCCATTCTTGCGAGCCATCGGCCATCGGAAGGCTTGCGATAGCAAAATATAACTTTACCACCTACCTTTACCAGTCCATTGAAGCATGACGTCAGCACCGTACATGGCTCTTGATTGCACATTTTTCGCCATTCCACGAGGTGGATCCCACCTAAATTTCATTGGAAAGCACGAATAAATCTTTCTTTCTACGGTCAATCCCAGTGAAAGGTATTCGCACGTCGCACCAAAGGGTGAAGTACATCACTGGCCTGGAAGATACACAGTCAGTAACTCACTTAAATTCCCTACATTGTATTGCACAGACTCTTGGGCGTTTAGTGAAATACTACGATTTAGTTAGAGGCGAGTGCAGAGGTTTAGCTCGGCTTGTAAGTGCGCGGCAATTGGCCTTGCCACTACCAGTGGCTGGCCACTACTAGCTGCTGTCTGGAACACAACAGTTTAGCCGCCGACATATTGTCTGCGTCTCACATATCCCTTATGCTCTCTCGTCTTTCCTCTCACCTCGTCATCTAGTGTGTCTTCATGGCACCGCCTACCTTGCAAGGAACGAACCCCTTAATTTTGATGCTTTCGATGGTTCATTTTGCCTTCTTTATTCTTTAATAGCGTTTCTTTTCACACTATACCTCCACTTTCATGTGATGAGCAGATCATCTCGTGAAAAATGCCTTCATAAGGTTGCCAAGGAATTACAAAGGTAGCTACCATCAACTCTGAAGTAGTATATTCGTATTTCTGGATGAAGTAATTCGAAAGTTAATGGAATTTTGGACAACTGTTGATTATTTACTGCCTCCCAAGCTATTTTCTGGACGCGTTCTTGTTGCTGATTCTAGCCACCCGTGTCTCAATAATCCTTATTCTCACAACAGTTGTGTCAATGAGCGTGAAATTTCCGTTTTGTTTTTCCTGCCAGAATTTCTTTTTTGAAAATCAGTTCTCTTCTTCAGAATGACTATACATTCTACGACTCGGGCAGCTGATCCGATTTCACCCGCTGAACAGGAAGCGATCGACTTACTTCGATCCAGGTAGGACGGGGCTTTTTAAGGAGCTAGAGTTACGCTGAAAAACTAAAAACGAATAAAAACTTCTGTAGGTTGATGAGGATTTGCGTTATCGCATCATATCA